ACTAATTTGTATTCTAAAAACATCACTGTGGAATGGCTTGGTTGGGGTGGGCAAGTGAGGAGGAGAGGAGCCCAGTTAGAAAGTTACTGTCATATTTCTGAAGGCAGATAGTGGAGGCTTAGATTGTGGTTGCAGGAGTGGAGATGAGGAAGTGAGTGGATTCAGAATGCATTTGGGTAAGTAATTGCCAGGGCTTGCCGGGGAATTGAATCTTGGGAGGAAGTGTTTAAAGGAAGAAGCAACAAGACTTCAAGTAGACTCAGCTGTCAAGATTGAAGATGATTACTTTTGAAAAGTTCCAATAAACTTGTCCCACTATTTTTATGCACCTACTAGTGGGGATTCAACAGTGATTAAAAAAAGACTTTTTTTCCATATGTTCTTAGCACACTGATTTCTTAAAGACTGCTTACTAATTTAGTTACCTGAAGTACAATTTTATACTTTTATAGGCTACTAAAAAAGTTTACTTTTATAGGCTACTAAATAAAATTTTATACTTTTATAGGCTACTAAATAAACATATGAAAAAATGGAAATTTAGCATATTCATATATTTTATGTATTATAACCTTCTCTTGAATGGAAATGGAAATTCGGTTGATCTTCCTCCACAGTTTACATTTTTTCCCAGTTTGTCAAGTTCTGCAATTTTTTTTTAAACAAAGAAGACAAAATATACATTTCTTTAGCAAATCAAACATACTCTCATGTTTTATCTGTGATTCTCTCACAGATTTTCTGATGTACTATTTAGATGTTTTTAATTCGGTGCTAGAGAAAAGTCATCTTCTTTAAATTGCGTAGTGTATTTAACCATCTTTAAGTTTTATAATACATTTCTTGCCATGCATTCTCATTTACACTTTTAGAAATTCAAATGTGCTTTCCATTGTCCCTTTAGCAGAAGAAAATTAAAGTTTGTAATGTTTATTAACAGTAATACCTAGAGATATCAGAAGAGGAGAAATAATGCATTTTCTCTAAAATTTAATTTTAAGCATATTGGCAAAATGTTCTCTGTTTCTCAACTTTACTAGTTTCTAAAATATTCAAATTATCGTTCTATATATAATTTCATATAATTATTTTTTAATCTAAGGGATTTCTGATAACTGCTTTTCAATTTTGTCAAACATAAAATGTCTATTTCGGGTCTTTTGTAGTTTTAGTTCTAGGAAATATCTTGTTTCCTAGATGGAAAAAATAAGCTGTATTCCTAAGGGCTGAAAGAACATAAAATTGGGTCATATTAACATATGTTTCACGTTGAAAACTCTGATGATATAACTAGGCGTTTCTAGGGGCCATCAAATATCCCTTGCTTCAGTGACAGAAATGTTGGGAAAAAAAAAAAAACTATCAAAAGTGAGCACGAGAGGGATTTCCTCCATTATGGAAAGATGGGAAGTGAATGGGCTTTTATCTTTAGGGCAAAGGAAGGCCTGAGTGATCTTGACATGTAGCTTGCTACCCAATGTAGAATGTATTTTATGAAATGTTACATTTTATTCAGGTAAAATTAGTTGTGTAACATATACATGTGTCAGAATTGTTTTTAAACAGTTGTTCACAAAGGTTCATTTGAGGAGAAAGGTCATTCAAAAGTCTTTGCTTTCAGTCTTCGTGTCAACTTAAAATAAATAAACAGAATGCATCCGGGACCAGGTGTTTTTGTTATAGGTAAGTTCATCATAAAGTCCCAAATTTGTTCATTCTAGTTATAATTATGATTACAGTCTTCCTCAATAAGTGAAATATAGACTGCTCATACCTTTTATAAAATGAATGTATCTGCTGCCTTTCAAATATTATTGTCTTGAGATGCCAACAGTTTCACTTACCTTTCCACAAAAATTCCAGCTTGAACAGCATGCACAATGCTCCGAAATTTTGGTTTTTCCTCAGGTTTCTTTTTTGTCATCCCCATTTTCCGTGTAAAGGTAGAAGCCAACCAGTCCCGGACTTCAGATGGGACTGAGTCAGTCTGAATGTCACTGAGCTCATCTTCAGTATCCAGAAGTCTTCTACAAAAATTTATACAGATTAAACATTTTTAAAAAGTGAAGAAAAACTAATAACAGGAAAACAAGGATTGCAATGGAATTAAAAATATAGCCAATACCGCTCTGTTTATTCCTTAATATGTACTCTCCAAAGAAAAAAAAATTCATTAACATTTGGAAAGCTCTTGATTTCTCAAATTGATCATATGAAGGCAACAACTAATAGATTTTGCATTTGCTGCTTCCCAAACATTTCAGCACAATGATACACTAGTCTGGAGGTACCGACTGTTAATATCTTCAGTGTGCTGTTCTGATAATGAATAAAACTAAGGAAAGATATGGAAGAGAACTCATAAACAGATGTCTGCTATTAAAACAAGCAACTGGAGTGGAAAGAATAAAGGGGGATTGAATCCATAATAGCTGTCATATACTTAATAATCTAGTGTATGTCTTACATATAGTACATGATATTTGAATAAGGCTTTGCAATGTATAAAAGTCATTCACAGGTACTATTTCATTGGATAACTACCCCTAAATTTTAGGAAAATAACAACTTAAGTGCTCTCAACAATATCCATTCTGTCAATATCACAGATTTTAAAAGTGAAAAAAAAAAAGAATGAAAACACATGAAAATAAATAGATTATGTTTAAAGCACATTACAGGTGACCAGTGGGTGGAGATCTCATGGGTTTAGAACTGCTGGCCAAGGAAATCAACCCAGCCAGTGAGGTAGTGAACAGGAACTGAAAGAATGACCACGCTCTGTGTAAGCTCCAGGTAGATAAAATTGACTGGACTGCTGAGTAATAACAGCTGCCATTAAAGAGGACACTCAGGAAACATCGCTATTTTAAGGCCAGTCAACTTCAGCAGTCAACAACTTCCTAAAGGTCTGAACTGGCAACATCCCAGAGGCTCCCCACCAAATACAGAAACAGCTTACAGAACAGTTGAGCTTTGTCTCCAGGAGGAATACAGGCCGCTCTGCCTGCCATTTGACTCGGTTCTTTCCTTATCTGTGCACCAATCTAAAAACTCATTGGCACATGTTAGCTTTAACCTTTGGGTTTCATCTGCTTTTGAAAATCTCTTTGCACAGACCTAGGCCTAAGGTTTATGAGCCGATGTTGGAAGGTGGCAAGAAATGGTTGTACATGCCAACGCCTCAGAAACAAGGCACAGGCCATCTCAAGAAGCAGGGACAAAACAAAGGACAAAAACCAGGAGGTCTCCACAAAGAACTCAATCTGGCCAAAGAGAGGCTCAAAAGGTAATATGCAGAAGAGGAACTTTTCATGTTCCTTTAATTGGCCTCCTGTATATGCTGCTGTTTCCCATAAACCTGCAGAAAATAGTCATTTGCCAATATTTCTTTTCCATGGTATTAAATAAGCATGAATGTATTTATGAAATACCTTATGAAAAAAGTAAACATAAGTTCTGGAGTCACAAAGATACATGTATACCTATAAAGATTAAAAAGATTTAGAGTTGAATGTTAATACTGATTAATACTTACTTTATTCGATTTTTAATTTTCTTTCTGATCTTACATTTGGATGGTTTTGATTTACCCCTAAAACACTGAACTAGAAAATTAAAGCAAAATAGTTTGTTTTTCTTTTTGCCCATTTGAAATTAGATTCCCTAGCCCATTTCAGCAAGTCACTAAACTACATGGCTTGAAAATTTCACTACTTTAAAGATTATGCCATTTCTACTATCTCTTATGCAGTGATCAAATACAGGGCAGGTGGGACAGGTAGAATAGGAATCATTGTGGTGTAATCTTGTGATGTCACCGTGCTCCAAGCATTCCACTGCAGCCTAGTTTTGTCAGCTAATCTCCTTAGAATGACAGAAACCTGACTGATGGTGCCAATTCCTCCACAGTAAATTTCATGTTGATGACTTTAGGGCTATATGTCCTATTCTCATAAATGATCCAAGAGAGATCATCAAACATAACAAAACCAGCGTATGAAAGTGATATTCCACATAGTAGAGTGGTACTTAGGAGGCTGGAAATCCTTAGTCATGATGCATGAGGTCATTTACTGAGAAGAAAGTGAATATAATTTTAGGGAGAAAGAATGATATGGATATGGATTAATTAGGGACACACAAATAAAGGACGAGAGTGTGTTAAGGGAAGAGCATGGAATATGCTATTGTGTAACTTGAAAAGGGAATCTTGAAAAGGCAACAACTACCTCCATGAAGTTTAATTTTATGTGTCACCATAGGTAGGTTATGGTGGCCAGTTGTTTGGTCAAACACCAATTTAAATGTTGCTGTGAAAGTATTTTTTAGATGTGATTAACACTTAAATCAGTAGACTTTGAGTAAAGCAGATTACCCTCTAAATTATGGGTAAGCCTCATCTGATCAGTTGAAAACCTTAAGAAAAAAGATTAAGGTCCCCCAAAGAGAAAGGAATTCAGCTTCCAGAACGCCTTTGAAATCAAGAATGCAATAACGACTCCTGCCAGGGTTTCCAGCCTGCCAGTTTGCTTTGCAAATTTCAGACTTGCCAGCACCAATAATCACATGAGCCTCTTCCTTAAAATACATATCTCGCTCTCTCCTCTCTCCTCTCTCCTCTCCCTCTGTCTCTCTCTTTCTCTCTCTCTCTATCTCGTGTGTGTGTGTGTGTGTGTATGTTGTGTACCTATTGGTTTGGATAAGAAATAATCTTTCCATCATTTATGAATGCTGTGTGATAACTACCAGTGTAGGTTATAAATGAAGTAGAATATAAAGACTGAGTTCTCTATTAATATTCATTTAATAGAACATACCAGTCCTATTTCTCATGTAAAAATCCTGTTTGCAATGAACTAACATGCCTTTTTAGCAATTATAAATCTAAACACCATACTGTTTAAACATTACAGAATTATTGTCAAACTAAATGAAGTGATTAAAAATGGAAAAAATGAGAATGATCCCTTGTCAGGTGGAACTTATATTTTAAAAGAAAGACAAGGCCGAGACCGCGTCCGCCCCGCAAGCACAGAGCCTCGCCTTCGCCGCTCCGCCGCCCGTTCACACCCGCCGCCAGCTCACCATGGATGATGATATCGCCCTGCTCGTTGTCGACAATGGCTCCGGCATGTGCAAGGCCGGCTTCGCGGGCGACGATGCTCCCCAGGCCGTCTTCCCCTCCATCGTGGGGCGCCCCAGGCACCAGGGCGTGATGGTGGGCATGGGTCAGAAGGATTCATATGTGGGCGACAAGGCCCAGAGCAAGAGAGGCATCCTGACCCTGAAGTACCCCATGGAGCACGGCATCATCACCAACTGGGGCGACATGGAGAAGATCTGGCACCACACCTTCTACAATGAGCTGCATGTGGCTCCTGAGGAGCACCCCGTGCTGCTGACCGAGGCCCCCCTGAACCCCAAGGCCAACCGCGAGAAGATGACCCAGATCATATTTGAGACCTTCAACACCCCAGCCATGTACGTGGCCATCAAGGCTGTGCTGTCCCTGTACGCCTCTGGCCGTACCACTGGCATCGTGATGGACTCCGGTGACGGGGTCACCCACACTGTGCCCATTTACGAGGGGTATGCCCTCGCCCACGCCATCCTGTGTCTGGACCTGGCTGGCCGGGACCTGACTGACTACCTCATGAAGATCCTCATTGAGCGCGGCTACAGCTTCACCACCACGGCCCAGCGGGAAATCGTGCGTGACATTAAGGAGAAGCTGTGCTATGTCGCCCTGGACTTCGAGCAGGAGATGGCCACGGCGGCTTCCAGCTCCTCCCTGGAGAAGAGCTACGAGCTGCCCGATGGCCAGGTCATCACCATTGGCAACGAGCGGTTCCGCTGCTCTGGAAGGAAGGTTCCAACCTTCCTTCCTGGGCATGGAGTCCTGTGGCATCCACGAAGCTACCTTCAACTCCATCATGAAGTGTGACGTGGACATCCGTAAAGACCTGTAGGCCAACACAGTGCTGTCTGGTGGCACCACCATGTACCCTGGCATTGCCGACAGGATGCAGAAGGAGATTACTACCCTGGCGCCCAGCACGATGAAGATCAAGATCATTGCTCCTCCTGAGCGCAGGTACTCTGTGTGGATGGGCGGCTCCATCCTGGCCTCGCTGTCCACCTTCCAGCAGATGTGGATCAGCAGGCAGGAGTATGAGGAGTCTGGCCCCTCCATCCTCCACCACAAATGCTTCTAGGCGGACTTAGTCGCGTTACACCCTTTCTTGACAAAACCTAACTTGCGCAGAAAACAAGATGAGATTGGCA